CTTCACTAAAGTGCTAGCTAACTAGCTATCCAGCTTAATTATCCTGATCAGTGTGTGTAAAATTTGATCTGCTTGGGATCAAGAACTGGATCAGCACATTTCTCCACAACCCCACCCCCCCCCCCCCCAAAAAAAAATAAAACAATAAAAAAACACAATATATATATATAAAATATCACTTCCTCAACAGTCTCTACTGTGTGTGGGATTTGTTCACAATTTCTTTTCTTGACTTTACTCACTGAAAACACTTTTATGGAGGCACACGTGTGTAAGCTCAAGGCAACAAAACACGACAGAACACTGCTTTCAATAGTGTCTACAACAGTGTACAACTTAATATGTAGATCTATCTATCTAGCTGTCCCTGTATGTTAAGCTAAATGATTTTACTCCCTTTGCCTTTTTCTCTGTCTGATGCTTGGGGATAAATAAAGTTTCTGTCACCTCCAGGTGTGGGTCCTTTGGGACGTCTTAGTCAAACTGCAACTTTAAAGTTTTAAAACTGGCAAAAAGAAAGAGAACTGGCTTTTCAAATTTGGTCTGTGTCACAGCCACACTGCAGACTTTTATTACAAAACTTCTCTCACAATCAAAACTCAGTGAGAAAATTTCCAAGTCTGTAGAATAAGACATGCAAAATAATAAGCTCACAGAACAGTTTGGAATGTAATCTGCTTTCCCCAAATCACAGATCACAGATATGTGATTGCACATATGCGATCGCACAATGGGGTGCTTATGTGTACATGTTGAATGAATGATGAATGACACCATATATGGTGTATTATTTATAGGGTATTTATTATTATTATTATTATTATAGTGTCGTTATCAGGATAATTGAACAAACTTTTGCAGTTATTGAACTTATGATGTTTCTTTAACAAATATAGATAGATAAATAGAATAGATCTCGCAAGTCAACATCCACAGCATGCATTTTTACAAAGACATTATAACATTAATGCCGACAGCGAGAGGTCACAACCTTGCAGGAGGACAAAGTATTCATTTTGTGTATCAACTTTTTATCAAGCTGATAAATACCTGACGGTTACAAATGAACTAAAAATTAGTTAACGTTCCAGGGAATCTGCTTCCTATAATTCAAGGATTTGGATCCAGCTAGCATCCAGGCCACATCGCTGTCTTCACCCACATTTCTTATTATAAAACTGACAGGAGGTAAATGTGGTCATAGAATGTCTTTTCCAAGCCACACATATGCATAGATTCAGATAAACATGCAGTACAATGGGGTGCTCGTGTGCATGACTCATGTAGCACCAAGAAACCGATTAGATGTAACAACAGGAGAATGTGCAGCACCCACTGTACAAAAGTGCACATATAGAGTGTCCTTTTAGAAAAGTACACATGACTTTTGAATGAATTTATGCTGACATACATGCCACAGTCTGACACAAAGAATATTAGCAACAATTTCCTTCTCTTCCTACAAAGTGTGCAGCATTAAAGTTCAAAATGAATAAATAAGTAAATTAATGAATAAAATATCCCAAAATAGTCCCGAAAACAGAAGTGAATAAAAATCTTTTAAAGCTAACAACTCTACGAATAATTTTTGTTTTCACAGGCAGTGAAAGAATCAGAGAGAGAGAAGTGTCATGAGAAATAGACGGTTTGTTACCAGGTGTTCAACCTGTTCACTCCCTGTTCACTCCCTCATCACCTCGTTTTTGTCTCTCTGTCGTCGACTACTGTTTATGAACGTTATTACAATGAGGTAAATTTAATCAACTTTAGCGAGGAAGGTGACAAACTACTCTGCTTGCCTCTGTTTGATAAGCCAACAGCAGTAGAGGCTATTTTACTAATGAAATGCAGAAAGTTTTACAGTAAACTAGCTCCTGCAAGTAAAACACAGCAGAGCCAACAAGCACAATTTTCATCATAAAAATACACTTAACACCATCTTTCTGTTTATTGAGGGGGCACAGTATCCTTACATGTTATTTAGTGGTTCTAGTTACACTTGTAAAGAAACATTGTGCACAGACATACTTGCCTTTCTATCCTCAACATAACACACATCCTGTCCTGTAACCCTAACCCAAGGAACCCAAGTGGAAAGACAATATTTTAGTCTAATATGTTTATACTATAGGTAAAACTGCACTGATCTTAGGAACCTGTACTAGTTTCTAAGAGCATGTTAGCAATATAACACCATGTTAAAAAAATGATGAACAGTTGCATCATCCTTTGGCCTTTCAGCAGCCCTTATGGAGTCCTAAAAGTGGTAGAGCAAGACAGAGAGCAATTAACAAGCTACACAAGCTTTTTATGTGTTTTGCTCTTGACCAAACCAGATAGAGCGTGTGTTTATTTCTTGGAAACTATGGTGAGTTACTAAAATTGATAAGCTAGCAGGAAAACCTATGCTAACTTTACACGTGGCAACTACTGCAACAGTGTGAACCCTGTAATGTCTAAAAAAAAAAGCGAAAACCAGTTGGAGTACTTGACCTGTGTGTGAAATGGAGTGTTATGTTTTATTTTATTGTCTATTTGATTAAGCACCTTCACAAATGCACCAAAATAATGCAAAATGCACTTTTCTTTTAGTTGTTATTCAGTGCCTTTTTGGGACATTGTCATTTCAGTTATAAGTTATTTCATATGAATAAGTTGTTTAAAACTAATTAAGTTACAAAAATTTCATGATTTGATTACACATGCCTTAAAAAGGGATCTATAAATATATTTGATTGTAATGCTGCAAAGCAATACGAATTCATAGAAACTGAAAAGATGTTAAAACAACAGTGTACTTGATTTTGAAAACTTTATGAGATTTCATTTTATTTAGAAACAACTGTAAGAATTATTTTGTTCATTGCTCTGTACTGTATGTGTAGACTGGATTTTTGTGATCCTGGATCTGATCTTATTTACATTGGTTTATCACACCATTGTAAAGTTGTAATAAACCTGTTCAGTTCTCTCAAATTTATTTTACTCCTATTGAATCTAGTCTCTCTATATATAGACTATAATAATATAATATAATATAATATAATATAATATAATATAATATAATATAATATAATATAATATAAATCTGACTGATGTCTGCACTCATGTCCATTTGAAATCTAGCTTGTAGAGCACGATTCATGGTTTAATGTTTGTAACATGTAAAAAAAAATTCACAATTAAAATCTGAACATTTCTAATGTTTATAATATTTATGGGGAACAAATTTCACATGACATAACAAAACTACAGTAAATTTTCAATGGATCTCTTCACTTTCTGTGGAGCCCAAACCGGTCATTCTGAACGATGTTAGAGGCAGCATATTCTCCAGACTCTTTCATGTCTGTCACATGTGCTCAGGATGAACCTGCTCTATCTGTGAAAAAGCAGAGGATGCCAGTACTGGACCTGTCAACTCTCCTATTCTATGACAAATGCTAATCAGGCTCCACGGTGCCAGACAGTGAGCACAGGGCACATCAGAAGACTGGGCCCTCAGGCCACCCTCATGAAGTCTGTTTCTGATTGTTTGGTCAGAGAACTTCACACCAGTGACCTGCTGGAGTTCATTTTGTAAGATTCTGTTGGGACTCCTGTTCTTCCTTGCACAAAGGAGGAGACTGTACTGGTCCTGATGGGTTAAGGACCTTTTGTGACCCTGTCCATAGAAGGCATCAACACGTGTCTTCTGGCAGTGGCACGTGTTGATGTTCCATCCTGGAGGAGTCCTACATGCTGTATATTTACATTACAGTGTTCTTCAGGATCTGCAGCCCGGGAAAATACACTGAACTGTAACAGTGAAACTCTGCTGCTAGCATGACATGGGGCAGGATAGGCAATCAGATGTAAGTCTAGACACAGCAATGTTCAGTAGCTAGTGGATCTGAGAGCAGACCACAGAAACCTCCTTAAGCATGGTCCAATAACCATTACAGTGGCAAGAAAGGGTCTCCAGTATGAAGAGTTGGATAGCACCAGGCCCCGATATAGTTCATGCCTACTGGCTGAAGAAGCTGACTGCACTCCATGAGTGTCTGGCAGCAGCACAAATGAACCAGCTGCTAGTCAATGAGAGACACCTGGAATGGCTAACTGAAGGCCGGACAGTCCTGATCCTCAAGGAACCCCAGAAGGGACCGGCCCCATTCAACTACCGACCAATAACCTGCCTCAGCACCACATTGAAGTTCCTGTTAGGAATCATAGCGGCTAAGATGAACAGGCACATGGGTCAATGCCTGAGTGGGGCACAGAATGCGATTACTTTACTCCTAAATTTCCTAACAGTGATTCCACTGGTGCATCCAAGTTTAATGAGAATGTTTGTTTGGCAGCATGGTGGCACAGTGGTCAGCACCGTTGCCAGCAAGAAAGCCCTGAGTTTGAATCTGTGTGTGCATGCTCTCCCCGTGTTTGCGTGGGTTCTCTTCACGTACTCAGCATCTAAAGAATGCAGGCAGTGGGGTTAGCTTAATTGATGATTCTCACTTGCCCATACGTGTGAATGGTTGTTTCTTTGTGTTAGGCCTTTGATAGACTATCCATGGTCTAACCTGCCTCTCGCCCTATGATAGCTGGGATAGGCTCCAGACCCGCCCCCCCCTCAACTCTGATAAAGTGGAAGAGAATGGAAACAATGCTCATTTATCGTTTGCTTTTTAAAAATTTTACCAGACATTTTGGCGTTCAACATCCATCATATTTATTTTAACAAAACAAAATTTTAATAATTCTTTTAGCGAAACTAACAAGTTGCACATTAAAGATGTATTCACATATTTGGATACATATGTTGAAAAAATATATATTAATATATATATATATTAAAAAAAGAAACTTATCTTATTTATGTCTGGAGTGTTTGAGAGAAAAATACTAATTAATGACATGCAACATGTAAAAAAAAAGATAAAGTCATATTTAAAATTTGCATGAAGAATGTCCCAACCAATGGGGTTTTGTGATAAAATTATGCTCTGTGATTGGTGGCTTCATGGCCACCAGCACAGTGAGAACAGGCTTAAAAGGTCCCAGCACAGCATTCACTGCAAGCTGAATGACAGCAATGGCTCATCTGAAGCTTCTTCTTCTTCTGTGTGTTGGTGAGTGAAATATTGCACTTATTTCTCAGGTTGTGACAAATTCTGTGTTACTAAAGGATTATTTAGGTTTTCACTAAACCACCAGATACTGTTTTTGTTCTTCTTTGTCTCTGCTTTGATATCAGTTATTATACATTTGTCAGAATGTTACAGTATCAGGAACACTGTCTCTACAGTATGATTGTACTTTTTCTTCTTTTCATCAACTCTTTGCAGACACATTTCTGCAACTATATTAACTAGAAAGAATATGTTGTTCTTCAGATGGAAGAAACAACCAGTTGTGAGTAAATTATTTTCTTTTTCAGGCATCACAGTCAGCACAGGAGTAGATTTGCACAAAAGGATCTATGGAGGCCAAAAGTGTCCAGACACTGAGCGTCAGTATCACGTGAAACTAAAGGCAACCAATGCAACACATGAAAGTCTCTGTGGTGGCTCACTGATCCATGAACGGTGGATTCTGACTGCAGCCCACTGCTGGGAAAATGAACCTGGATGGTGAGAAAACAACAGTTTCACTTATAAATGTTTTTAATAGAATTTAAAAGTTAGGACAGTATTTCAAATGCTCATGTTCTGTAATTGGAGTCGCTTACACTCATTTCCCCTTGTGCAGGTATATGTATGCAACTTTAGGAGTTCATCCATCATGGATAAAGTTATTATTTCAACGATCTTCAGATAAAAAAAAAAAGGTCAAAATCACAAGTGGATCATTTTTTGTGGGCATAAATACGTTTGATGACATCATGCTACTGGAAATTCCTTCACAACCAGGCAGGAAAACCGTTGCCTTACCAGACTGTGCAAATCCTCCCAAAATGTAAGTTGTGCGCTTACCTAATAAGTCTGAATCCTTTCTGACTTTTCCACTTTTTTATTTTTATTTATTTGTATTATGATATTTCTTTATTCACAATGTTGAATATAAATGAAACTTGTATGGTTTGGATACTTACTAAAACAATATATGAAAGTGGCCACTTTCATGAGTAAACCATATCAGCCTTATATGATTCACTATATGAAGTAGGCCAAATCTGCCAGTCTTTTATAAGTTTTCACTATTTCTTTTCCATATGGGACAGCTCAATCAACACAATATCACAGTAAAAACTTACATTACACTAAAGAAGGAGTTTAAACATAAACAACAGCATTGACAAACTCCCTCAGCAAGCATAATGTTTTTGTGGGATTGCACCACTATTCAATAACAAGTACAATCCTTCCAACTTTTCTTTATGTCAGGGCTCTGTGGCAGGCCTGAGGTGCCTCAGGCAGGGATGAGGACGCAAAATACAGGACTCATAGAGAATGAGTGGCAAATTAAAGAACCTCAGCTTTATTGCTGGCATGAAACAAAACATAAACCAAACTGAGAATGGTATGACAAGAACACATAGGCAATTCTGAGGATACAACACGACAGCGAGCAAAGGAAAACACAGGGCTTATATACACAGAGGCGTAATCAGGGAATGGGAAACAGGAGGGAGACGCAGCTGGGAGAAATTAGGGGTAACGAGTAGGGATGGGTATTGATAAGATTTTCACGATTCCGATTCCATTTTCGATTCTGTTTAACGATTCGATTCTTTATCGATTCTCTTATCGATTCTTTTTAAAAAAGGAGAACACTAAGGTCGAATTAGCTTAGAACTTTGTTTTATATCTTCTCTTTGAACAAGATAGAAATTTAGGAGTAACATGGCCTTACAAACCAACAGTGAGATCTTAAGAGATCCAGCCTACGGCTCTTCAATGGGGTGTCACAGGGTCCCCAGGAAAAAAAATTGTAAATGTAAAATAATAAAATAAATATTCTTCTGTAGCAATAACAAAGTATAACATAAATTATTCAGTAGCAATTACACAAGAATATCCAGTAATGTCCCTGCCTACAATTAAACACATTCACTTACCGAAAATCGGGGGCATCTGCTGTGGCAAATGGGTGCAAGCCTTTTACCACAAACTTAGTCACTGCTCGGTGACATTCGTCTATCCTGGCCTGAAAGGAGACGCTACCGGTAGACTGCAGCGAGAACTGCCAGCATCTGAGCCAGACTCTGTCTGTCTCTCTCATCATGGTCACCTAAATGCACAGTAATGGCAGGTTTTGTAATAAGGCAGATCGCGCTAACATAATATTGCTGTTAGTTGATTATTTACCTGCCGCATTAACGGGAGAGGACGTGCAAACGTTAGCGCTGCTGCTGGGTTGAGATTCACGAGTCCGGAGCGGAATTAAAAAACGACATTCATTTAAGGTTATCTGTGTTTTGTGAGCAAATGCTTTTGCATATTCGTAGTGTTTCCTCCCTTAAATGAAATATCTACTTTGCAAGTTGCCCCGTTGTCATCCGTTCTCGTAAAGTATAACCAAACTTTTGAGCGTTTGAGCCGCCATGTTTCCTGCCAGGTAAATGACGCTCCGCAACGTGGTGACGTCATTCAGGGCGACTGGAATCGATAAGGGAATCGTTTGCAAAAATGGCAAACAATTCCAAGAAATTGAAACAGTGGGAACCGGTTCTCAACAAGAACCGGTTTTCGATACCCACCCCTAGTAACGAGACAGGGGGAAGCAAAACTGAATACACTGACATAAGACATGGACCTCCAAAGTAAAACAGGAAACAATCCACAAAGGCGCAGATTTGACACTGAACTAAACCTACACAAAGTACGAAGACATAAAACCTAAGAACAAAACCCTAAACCAGAATAAACTGAAACATGGAATTAAAACAAGACAATCAGAATACATAAAAACCATAATACATAAAAATATAACAAACTGAAAATGCTGGGTCAAAATGACCCAGAACCGTGACACGTTATACTGTACACATTAACATCATTAACAACATTAAAAATAGTATTTCTATGTCTTTTAGACAGTGAATTTCATTCAACAAGTGGAATATGAAACATGAATAATATAAAATAGGACCATTTAAGAAAAATAATATAATATAGTAATAATAAACATACTAATACCAGTTTAAAATAAATGATTATCATTTTCATTCATTCCCTCTAAAGAATAACTTTGTACTGTGTAGTCTGTTTGTAACAGGCAGCAGGTTTTTGTCCTTCCCAGGTTTGTATGTCTGGAGTTTAACCTCTGGCTCTGTTTCCCTTCTTATTTCTGTAGTCTCAGTGTGTGTTGTGTTCAGTTTTGCTCCCCCTGTTGTTTGCCTGATTGAGTTCACCTGTGTTACCTCATGTGTCCCATCTGCCTGATTACTTTGTGTGCATTTAAGTCCTTTGTTTTGTACTTTTGTTTGTCTGGATCTCTTTCTGGCTGTGTCCTGTTTGTCTGTTGCAATAGCCGAGCTAGTATTGCCGAGTACTCTATATTTAAAGCTGCTTTTGAGTTTAGTCCTGGATATTGGATCTGCCTGTCACACAGTGCATTATGAGAGTAACGGGTAAATAAGTCATTACTGAAAGAAATGTGATTCCTTTTAAGGCTGCTTGACTAAAGTGAAAATCATACAACATATTGAACTTCTAATCTGTCTTCATAGAGGTGTCCTTTAACAAATGTGAATTTAAAAAACAGTGAATAAGCTTTGAGATTGTATGTAAGATCATCTTGTAGGGAAGTCATGGAATCCATTACCCACAACTAATAAGCAGGGTAATAAGAAAATATAATTTGATATAATATTATAAATGAAACCATGAAAGCCACTTACAGTGTTTGTTGCTCTAACTGATAACACGAGGCTCAGTGAAGCAAAAAATGTATCCAACCATGGAACGGTTTTCAGAACGGGATTTAGAAAGGTTCAAACAAGTTAATGGAGCAGGAGAAGATGGTTATCATGCAGGTCAGGGCAGTAGTCCATCAACAGGATGACATCATACTTGTGAAGTTTCAAACCCATGACTGACATTATACCTGCATCTCCACCTGACTGACATCGACGATAATATCACTGAGCCTGGATCAAGAGTTAAGATTCCTTGTTTTGATTTTAGGAGTTACATCCATGACACGCAGTGAATGACAATGAAACACGTGTGGCAGACAGTGATGTGTGATATCTGAACCCTCAGTTACTCAGAGTTAGTAGCTGTAGCTGGACTGGAAATACCCAGCATGCAGTGTACATCATTATGATTTATTATTTTATTCTGTGTTCACAAGACACGGGTGGATGTGGAATTAATTTGTGACAATTTTTTCTGTTTCTAGAAATGACGTCGTTCAGGTGGCAGGCTTTGGGAATTACCAGGTAGATAAGAACAACAATGAAAGTAAGAATAATTTTCTTGATTAGGTCAGTTTATTTTAAAATCTGATTTTGCTTTGTGTGTTATTATAGTTATATTTAATTTTGTATGAAAAAAAAGTTGTTGTTTTTTTGTCTCTTTTTTTTTTTACAGTGTATATATTATATGCCAGGTTCCCACCTTTTTAGATGCAGTTTTTTTTTAAGAAAACATTTTGCTTGAAAAATATTTGAATTGTTTGTAGAAATAAAGGAAAATATCATTTTCCTTAAGATTTTAGCTTTTGAAAGGTTATGAATGACTTTTGTTCTTTTCTTTTTTTTTTTCTCTAGTCACTGGCCAACCACCTCATCTAAAGTGTGCAGACATGCATGTTGTTGACTGTGGACCTACCAGAAACTCTCAATGTGATGCACATGTGCCGTATAACAACAGGCTGTGTCTGAAAGAACCTAATGTAGATACACGTAAGGTAAGTTGACTGCTAACATTACTGTATATCATCTGTGTATGTTTTAGATCTTTTGGAAGAAACTTAAACACAAATTATATTTTTCTCTCTCAGGGTGATTCTGGTGGTGGAGTGATTTACAACAACATGATTTATGGGGTAATCAGTAGCGGTTATAAACGTGCCTGTACTGGACCAACTGTTACTGTGAATGTCTGTCCTTACATGAACTGGATAAACCAGAAAATTAATCCAAAAAGTAATGGAAAATAACTGAAGGAAAATAACATTCAGAATAAACAATCATCTCTACATGAAACTTGTGTGCTGTGTGTTGTGTCCAAAAAACTCACTGAAAAGCCTTCAGCTAATCCAAAATGCTGCAGCAAGAGTCCTGACAGGGACTAGAAAGAGAGAGCATATTTCTCCTGTTTTGGCTTCCCTTCATTGGCTTCCTGTTAAATCCAGAATTGAATTCAAAATCCTGCTCCTCACATACAAGGTCTTAAATAATCAGGCCCCATCTTATCTTAATGACCTTGTAGTACCATATCACCCTATTAGAGCACTTCGCTCTCGCTCTGCAGGCCTACTTGTTGTTCCTAGAGTATTTAAAAGTAGAATGGGAGGGAGAGCCTTCAGTTTTCAGGCCCCTCTTCTGTGGAACCAGCTTCCAGTTTGGATTCGGGAGACAGACACTATCTCTACTTTTAAGATTAGGCTTAAAACTTTCCTTTTTGCTAAAGCATATAGTTAGGGCTGGACCAGGTGACCCTGAATCCTCCCTTAGTTATGCTGCAATAGACGTAGGCTGCCGGGGGATTCCCATGATGCATTGAGTTTTTCCTTTCCAGTCACCTTTCTCACTCACTATGTATTAACAGACCTCTCTGCATTGAATCATATCTGTTATTAACCTCTGTCTCTCTTCCACAGCATGTCTTTTATCCTGTCTTCCTTCTCTCACCCCAACCGGTCGCAGCAGATGGCCGCCCCTCCCTGAGCCTGGTTCTGCCGGAGGTTTCTTCCTGTTAAAAGGGAGTTTTTCCTTCCCACTGTGCCAAAGTGCTTGCTCATAGGGGGTCATATGATTGTTGGGTTTTTCTCTGTATCTATGAAGCGCCTTGAGGCGACTTATGTTGTGATTTGGCGCTATATAAATAAAATTGTATTGAATTGAATTGAAGTACAAGCTTAAAAAAATGGTATTACTGTCTTTACACATGTGGAGACTGAAAACATGCTGTTGTTTGCACATATTTAATAATCAGCTCTGCACAGGAGCTGAAGCAGAGTGCAGCCTGTTGCTTTTACAGTATCGTGGCTCAAGAGTTGGGAGTTCGCCTTGTAATCGGAAGGTTGCAGGTTTGAGCCCCAGCTTGGACAGTCTCGGTCGTTGTGTCCTTGGGCAAGACACTTCACCCGTTGCCTACTGGTGGTGGTCAGAGGGCCCGGTGGTGCCAGAATTCGTATTTGAGGTAAGAGACAAACGACTGCAAAGTCCCAGTGAGGTGCATCAAAACAATGATTTTATTTAAACACATATATGTGGAAGCCGAGCACGATCACACAAATAGCATCGATCTTCCCAGAACAATAAATGTGCAGTCATATATATATATAACATAGTTGATGACGAGCATCATGCGTCAAAGCAGATAACTAACATGCATCAGTTCCAGTAATTCCAAGCTTGGACACATTCAAAAAAGAACAGTTCCTTCCTCTGTTCCTCCGCCACCGCCAGATGCTTCCTGTTATTTCACATACTGCACTTCACTTATTTGTGGAACTAACCTGTCACGTATGCAGGTAAAACAACTTTGCAGTTTCAAGCAAAACAAGTCTAGATACTGTGTATGTGTACAGGCAGCATATGTGTGTCTTGACCTCAGTGCATGACGTACTCTGAGTCATCTGTTACCAGGCAAACTCCCAGCAGGCTGCTGAGTGCACACAGGCCTGTATTCTGTTTACAGGTAAGGGGTGCCTGCTGATAGAGCTGGGACAGTTGTTCCATGTCAACAGCGCTCCGACACCTTTATATATGCCAGGCTATTGTTGACTCCTGGTCCACCAAACCTTGGTTCGACCAGCGAAATTGCTGGAGGCAGTGAGGGTGGATGTTAGTTGTGTGCATAAGAATATACACAAATATTGCATAGTGCCACTAGAAATAAAGTACAATTTCAAAAGACATAGAGTTAAGGCTGCAGTTAGCTCCCGCCTGACACATCCCTTAAGTCTGTTGACAGATTAGCTGGGGTTTCACAACCTGTATGGCCAGTGTGTGGGGATGTGTTCACGACAGATAGGGGCATGTAATGTTTGTGCTCAGTGGTGATGCAAAGTTGTCCAACACTGAATCTTGGGAGGAGGAGACAGTGGGGCCTTCTTGGGGTCTAAGTCAGGCAGTGAGGCTATGCTGCAGAGGAGGGGTGCTATACTAGGTTCAGAGGGTAGTGTTATTCCCCATGTTACGACCCCCTCTGCTAGGCGACAGGTGGGGAGAAACATACACAAGCCCTCTCACGAAATCAGAGTAAATAAGGGGTTTTATTACAAACATTAAACTGAAAACCAACGGGGCTGTTCAACAGACCACCGGGCAAACAATACACAAAGAAAAGAACAGGCAAGAATAAAAGCTAAGGGTTAACTAAGGTGAGCCAGCAAACACAAGACTCTAATAAAACTAAGGTCAGCTATATATCAGAGTTTACAGACAGAGTTCAAATGCTAAGCAGACGAGGCGGCCGCAGCATGTTCACGTCAGAGCAGCAGTTCCCCACAGTGTGAAGAATCTTCAGCCTTTTTATACTCCCAGGTGCAGACAATCAGCCAGTCAATTGGTCTTGAAGTGTCATGGGATCTCCAGGCAGCCAATCGTTCATGAGGTCTGGCACACTTGGATCTGCATAAAAGAAGGCTGGCACAGGACTCCCAGCAGCCAGCCATCCACGAGTCCTAGCACTCTTGGATTTGCATAAACAAAAGGGCAGTCCCACTTCCCACTTCTCCGAGGCCCAGGGCCGTAACACCCCTCCCCTTAAAATACAAGACTACGTTTTGTATACACAGATTTTAATATCCGTGACAGACAACAAAACAAGTCATACTCACAACTGGGAGAGGCCATCAGCTAATACATTTTCTGATCCTTTTATATGCCGAATCTCCAAATTGTACTCTTGCAGCAGCAAGACCCATCGCATGAGTCGTTGATTGTGGTTAAACATTCGGGCAAGAAATACAAGTGGATTATGATCAGTGTACACTACAACGGGTAATGTGCCAGACCCCAAGTACACATGGAAGTGCTGAAGAGCTAGCAACAAGGCCAATGTCTCCTTTTCAGTGACGGAGTAATTTACCTGATGCTTGTTAAACTTGCGGGAGAAGTAACAAATGGGGTGGTCCAATCCCTGCAAGTCTTCTTGCAACAGTACTGCCCCAGCCCCAACAGCACTGGCATCAACCTCTAACTTGAACGGACGCGTCAAGTCGGGTGCAGTTAACACGGGAGTGTGGCATAGGAGGGCTTTCGCACTTTCAAAGGCATCCTGACACTCATCAGACCACAGGAAATCAACCTTAGGTCTTAGCAGGTTGGTCAACGGCTGGACTATGGAGGAGAAGTTTTTGCAGAAGTTCCTGTAATAACCCACCATTCCCAGGAATCTGCGCAATTCCCGCTGGGTGGTAGGCGTGGGATACTCCATAATTCAATTCAATTCAATTTTATTTATATAGCGCCAAATCACAACAAAAGTCGCCTCAAGGCACTTCATAGATACAGAGAAAAACCCAACAATCATATGGCCCCCTATGAGCAAGCACTTTGGCGACAGTGGGAAGGAAAAACTCCCTTTTAACAGGAAGAAACCTCCGGCAGAACCAGTCTCAGGGAGGGGCGGCTATCTGAATAACAGATATGATTCAATGCAGAGATGTCTATTAATACATAGTGAGTGAGAAAGGTGACTGGAAAGGAAAAACTCAATGCATCATGGGAAATCCCCCGCAGCCTACGTCTATTGCAGCATAACTAAGGGAGGATTCAGGGTCACCTGGTCCAGCCCTAACTATATGCTTTAGCAAAAAGGAAAGTTTTAAGCCTAATCTTAAAAGTAGAGATAGTGTCTGTCTCCCGAATCCAAACTGGAAGCTGGTTCCACAGAAGAGGGGCCTGAAAACTGAAGGCTCTCCCTCCCATTCTACTTTTAAATACTCTAGGAACAACAAGTAGGCCTGCAGAGCAGAGCGAAGTGCTCTAATAGGGTGATATGGTACTACAAGGTCATTAAGATAAGATGGGGCCTGATTATTTAAGACCTTGTATGTGAGGAGCAGGATTTTGAATTCAATTCTGGATTTAACAGGAAGCCAATGAAGGGAAGCCAAAACAGGAGAAATATGCTCTCTCTTTCTAGTCCCTGTCAGGACTCTTGCTGCAGCATTTTGGATTAGCTGAAGGCTTTTCAGTGAGTTTTTTGGACATCCTGATAATAATGAATTACAGTAGTCCAGCCTGGAAGTAATAAATGCATGAACTAGTTTTTCAGCGTCACTCTGAGACAGGATATTTCTAATTTTAGAGATGTTGCGCAAATGGAAGAACGCAGTCTTACATATTTGTTTAATATGTGCGTTGAAGGACATATCCTGGTCAAAAATGACTCCAAGGTTCCTCACAGCGTTACTGGAGGCCAAGGTAATGCCATCCAGAGTAAGAATCTGGTTAGATACCATATTTCTAACCAGAGTAAGAATCTGGTTAGATACCATATTTCTAAGCTTTTCAGGGCCGAGTACAATAACCTCAGTTTTATCTGAATTAAGAAGCAGAAAGTTAGCGGCCATCCAGGTCTTTATGTCTTTAAGACATTCCTGCAGTTTAACTAATTGGTGTGTGTTATCTGGCTTCATGGACAGATAGAGCTGGGTGTCATCAGCATAGCAGTGAAAATGTATGCTATGTCTTCTAATGATGCTGCCTAAGGGAAGCATGTATAATGTAAACAGAATTGGTCCTAGCACTGAACCCTGTGGAACTCCATAATTAACCTCAGTGTGTGAAGAGGACTCTCCATTTACATGCACAAATTGGAGTCTATTAGATAGATATGATACAAACCACTGCAGTGCAGTACCTGTAATACCTACAGCATGTTCTAATCGCTCTAATAGGATATTATGGTCAACAGTATCGAATGCTACACTAAGGTCTAGCAGGACAAGCACAGAGATGAGTCCACTGTCAGAGGCCATAAGAAGATCATTTGTAACCTTCACTAAAGCTGTTTCTGTGCTGTGTAT